GTCCGAAAATGCCGATAGATGTAAAGGGTGGGGTATTCGTCGTCCTCCCGGAAGAAGGAACGTGGACAGACCTGGATCCAGCCTATCAAACTGTGATGCTGAACGAGAAGGACGTGTTCCTCTGGATAGAGACAATATGGACTAAGGTCGACCTGACGAGATTGTCGCCGAGCTTGATGGACTTGGAATTCCGGGGACGGTGGAAGCCCGAGGGTGGGTCTACCTATCCCAGGAAAGTGAAAATGTGATGGGACCAAACATACATCATGCTCATCACAAAGTGTGAAGGGGCCTGGTGCTATACACAGGAAAGAGGCGCCAGGTCCAGACATACACAGACGAAGAGGAAGGGATCAGACGAAGAAGAGGAAGGGGAGATGGAAAAGTCGTCAATACCGAGTCTCGTTACACGTCCCAAATAATCCCTCTTCAAGATGTCTGAAGTCCCATGTCGAGTCTGGATCCAATGTCACCAAGCTCTCTCTCTCTCTCTCTCTCTCTCTCTCTCTCTCTCTCTCTCTCTCTCGTAGTCTGCTGATGCAGTGAAGCCACATAGCGAGAGGGTGAGAAGGAGATGGTGGACTGAGAAGAGGAAGAAGAAGAACTCTCTCTCTCTCATGAGCCAGGTACTAACCTGTGAAGTTGGCGCTGTGTTGCAGGTACCTCGAAGACGAAGCTGGAGCAACGGCGCTGCAGGTAAGTACTCTTGGCCTCCGCCCAATCTCTCTCTCTCTCTAGTACTACTCTAGCTATGGCGCCCAGCGTTGAAGACTACACCTAACGCTACTAGCACCCAACGCTGAAGACTACTGCTAACGCTACCATTACTCCTACAGCGCTCCTCCAGAGTGCTGCTGCCGAATCTTGAAGACTACTGACTGCCTCCTGCATACCCGTGAAATGCATGGGAAGTCCCTATGTACTACCTCGGTCTGCCTCCTGACTGCCTCCGACTGCCTGCAGTTGCAGGGCAGGCAGTCCAGGAGGCTGCTCTTGCCAATGCCAAGCTGAGCCAGGGGCTGGCGCTGCATCTGTCGTGGGAACAGGCCAAAAATAGCCTATTCCTAAAACCCTGGTTCAGTGCCTGAGTTTCAGGGCAGGTCGGTCTGATTTCAGACCGAAATGGCCCTTCGTTTCACGCTAAAAAGGCTACTGCCATTTTTAGTCTGAAACGACGCAGGGTCTGTAGGCCCCTGTTTTTCAGGCTTTCGAGTTGAACAAACACAGGGCCTGTAGGCCCCGGTTTTCAGGCTTTCATCCCGAGGGACGCAGGGCCTGGAAAATGACCCTCGTGTGCAGGCGCAACATGTAACATCCCCCCCTCCTTGTAAGGTCAAGCCGGGGCGAGGGCGAAGCTGACGATCTGAAGGTGGAACCTGAACGCGGGTGCGGAGTGGAGCCGAAGAGACCGGCTTGCCTTGCATCTTGCGTTCGTAGCGTGCGAGAACGTCTGGAGCTGTTGCTTAAAGTTTCGCACGGGTCAACCAACGGTCAACTCGGTGTGTGCAGTATGCAAAATGTACCAAGTACTCGGTTGGCCTGTTGTCGTAGCGTCGCTGGGAGATGATGTCGCCAACCTCTTGAAAACCGTCCATAGAGGGTGGGTCTTGCGATCGTCGCCCTGGAAAATCGTCATGTTCCGCTGGTGTGTAAAGAGCCAACTTGGAGCAATGAAAGACCGGGTAGACGGGCAAGTGGGTGGGCACCTGAATGGTGAAGGAAGGTCCCTCGGGTGCATCCCCAGCGGGTGCCACGATCGGCCAAGGCCCCATCCATTTTGGGAGGAGCTTGCGAGAGATATCTTGTTCAAGGCTGAATTCCGCGGCCGAGACCCAAATGAGATCGCCGACGCGGAATGGGCAAGGAAGACGCTGCTGATTGGCCTGTTGGCTCATGCGTTGCTGCGTCTTGGCCATCTGGTCGCGTGCCTTGACAAGTATCTCTTGCATCCGTCGCAAGAAAAGAAGTTGGTCGTCGCTCTCGGCCGTTGAAAAGGTCTGGCAAGATGTCCAGAAGAGGAATGAA